ACACACACACACACACACACCAGAAAAAAAAAAAAGACAAAAAAAAAAAACGAGTGTACATTCATTCGACTTTACAAATCCTATCGATGGAAGTACCATGAGTCCAGCCGTGAGGTTGGAGACTGACATGTTCTCTCTCTCTCTCTCTCTCTCTCTCTCTCTCTCTCTCTGTGTGTGTGTGTATGTGTGTGTGTTTGTGTGTGGCGTGCACCGTCCTGTGGGCAGGTTCTCTCTAACCGTCAGTCCCACGAAAGGGTCTGATGGCCTGAAATGCAATTTTCCAACCCCGACAGTTTTTTATTTTTTCTTAAAAAAATCAAAAAAATAAATTCGGCAGTGCAGGGGGGTTCCTGACTGCCAGGGCCAAGGGGCACCCCCCCATGCCACCGAAACGGGGTTGCCCCCCTTGCTTGGCACAACTCGTTTCCGTGGGGGCCGCTTTACTGCTGTGACCCGTCGACCGGGTGGTAGGACTGGTGTAGGGCGGAGGTAGGGCGGAGGTAGGACGCCGCTCTAAGGTTAGACCGGGTACCCCCCGTTCTACCTTCCGCCAGACACTGGGGCTCAACCCCCCCCGTCACGGCATCACCCCCCCACGGGGCCCAGGTATGTTCGGACGGGGCCTTTCCGTACGACCGTACACCCGTTCGTACTTCCGTATGCAGACCCCCCAATGACCCCATACGACGTACGGGTGACGACACTGTGCACACACATAATTTTATTATTATTATTATTTTGTTTTCAAACTGCTCGCGCCCTATGGTGGCTTCCCAGGCGCGCGTGACGCGCGCATGCCAACTGTCGGTGCGCGTTCAGTTTTCTCCGCTCCAATGCCATGTGGCGTGTTTGAACGAGCTCACGCGCGCTTTGAACCCGCGTGTTTGAACGTGAACGGGCGTTCTGGGTATTCAGATGGTCACATAGGCGACACGCTTGCGAAATTTGTAGTTTCGAAGGAGGGGGAAAGAGGATACAAAGAGAGGACAAAGGAGGCGGAAAATGAGAAAGGGAGAGTCTCAGAGAGACACTCGGAAGAGCCATGTCAATCTGCGTGGAGTACTTCATAGCGAATCAGATCGCGGAGTGAGGAGTTTGGAGCCTCCATACACACTGTTGTCCGACATCTACGATTACTTGGGGGATCGGTGAGGCTTTCCTACGTGTAGACGAAGGCGGGGAAGGAGGTTACGAAAGACAGAGGGGGGCGAGACCGAGATTCAACGGAAGCAAGAAGAAAGAAGAGCGCGAAGAGAAGGGGAAGAAGACAGTTACAGATGTAATTGTTTGAAAATCCCATAAATCTCTTCGTTATTAATTAGTTATGTTGTAATATCCATATTATCCAATTCGTTGATTTTTTGTTTGATAGTATTGAAAGAGAGAAATATCTACTAAAGTACACATATAAGTAAGATCAGCGCTAATAGTGCAAAGAGGGTGGTTGGGAAAGCAGAGAAAGATAGCCTATGGAAAAGTTGCGTAAGAAGATGCATGTGCGTAAAATAAAAAAGGCACCAAACTGTTACGCGAAATGCTAGTGAAGCCGTGCCTAATTCCTAAGGCCGAAAACCTGAAGAGAAAATTTCGCGGGCGTAATCTGAAACGTGCGAATTGCTATGCCTATTCCTATTCCACCATTCGTCAACAAAAATTGAATGGGGCTTGCTGGGGCACCTCCACAAATGTTCATGCACAAGCTATGAAACACCCGCGGACACGTCCGCGGGGTCGAGCTCGGAGGGCGGCTGTGATCACGGCCGCCTCGGCTCCGGCCGCAGTTGGGTGCGGCCGCGACTTTCAGGAATTTTTTGTGACCTTAAAAAATTATCAAAACAAAAACACAAAATATGGGGTTGTAGATCTTTTCGAGATATAAATTGCGCAATTTTTTATTTTATTTTTTGACTCCGTTTTCAAATTTTAAAAATTCAAAAACTAATTTTCCTGAGGCAAAAGGTGGTTTTTTTTTTCCCAAAAAAAAAACATGAAACGTATGTGATTTTTTATTTTAAATTCAGTAACGTTTTTGGATATGACCACAAGGCAAAAGTTGTTCAGTATATGTTTCTGCATACTGTATTTTGTTTTCAGAAGTTTTTGAATTCTTTTTTTTTTTTTTTTTTTTCATGGTCGCGGACCACGGTCACGTCCGTGGGGTCGCGGCCTAGGCCACGGCCGCGGATGGCCGCCGCCGAGGGGGATTCGTAGTGCACAAGGAAAGGATTCCTTGCCAACCTGTGAATCTGTGATTTCTGGATTCAAGAAAACCCGAGCAAAAAAAAACTCTGAGCGCGCTCGCTAAGGCGCGCGTTAATCCTACATAAAAGTACAACAAAATATGAGAGAAAATCCCAAAAACCACAGAAACAAAAAGGCAAGATTTGGCCAACATGTGACGCGCCGGCTTCTGAGCCTGCGCCATCTTCCGGACCCCTTCTCCCTCTTTTTCTTTTCGAATTTTGCTCAGGCCAACACGACCCCTTTCCTTGTTTTTTTTTTTTCAAGGACCCTTGCTCAGGCTTGCTGAGACCCGTGTTTTCAGTCTCGTTGATTCTTGAAATTCCGTTTTTTTTGGGAAATGCATGGGAATTACGCGCGCTTGCTAAAGCGCGCTAGGAATTTGGCTCGACGGTTCGGAATTCCGAAATGAACAGAACCCGGCGTGTCCTTTTTGAAGTTTTTGTGTGTGAATGTTCTTGACCACGTCGTAGAAAACTCTGGGAGTTTGGCGGGAATACGAATAGACGTAGGACTTTCGTTTCCCCGCGCCTACTTTACGAGCGGATATGGCGATTTCAATTTTTGAATTAGCATAGGACTTAGAAATCTGTAACTATTTTGGTGCCTTTTTTGCATTCGTGATCGGCACCATGCATGCGAGCTTCCCCCTTTCTGCTCCCCTCGCCATCTTCGACGCTCCTTTCGCACCCGCGCTCACTCTCACTTTGTAACCGTTTAAAAAAAAAAAGGAAAGGGGCCTTGTTGGCCTGAGCAAAATTCGAAAAGAAAAAGAGAGAGAAGGGGGCCGGAAGATGGCGCAGGCTCAGAAGCTGGTGCATCACATCATGTCCCATGCATCGGGGTGAAGCCCCAAAACACAACCGAAACATGCTGAGTCCGACATGACCATTCGTCGAGCAATCTGGACCGGGTAGAACTAGATCAGATCGACCCCGATTACTCAGAGAGCATACAAAAAAAAGAAAGGGGCTCACATGCACAGAAGTTGGCGCGTCACAGTCCCGCGACTCGGAGTACTCGCTACTGAGTTTGGGTGTTAAGTACGAGTTTCTTGTTGATGTCCTTCTTCCTCCCCTGGAGTCTTGACTTGGTCATGTTTGTCTGGAGTCTGGACTACTGTTGGGCTGCTTCTCTCTCTCTCTCTCTCTCTCTCTCTCTCTCTCTCTCTCTCTCTCTCTCTCTCTGTGTGTTCATAGACTAATGAATAGCTACTTTTTCTCCATCATCATTCGCTGTAGCGCTCGCTTTTCCTTCTTCATCTAGACTAGTACCCCTCCTCCTCCTTCTTCCTCTTCTTCTTCTTCTTCTTCTTCTTCTTCTTCTTCTTCTTCTTCTTTCTCTTCTTCCTCCTCTTCCTCCTCATCACAGAGATTAGTTTTGTTTTGGACAAATTGCAGATTTACCGGTTCAAAGAAGTATCGTAGCAAGAATTGTGACAAATATGCCGGCCCTGGTGGCCCGTGTATTGTGACAAATATGCCGGCCAAGTTGCAGAAATACCCTTTTTCAAAAGTTTCGAAGCAGATTTACCGGGCGGTTCTTTCTTGGCAGCGAATACATAGCTACTGCTGCTACTCTATGAGCGGGTGGGGTGGGGGACGATGAGAAAGGGAGGCGCAGCTACTGGCAGGTCTCCGTCTTTGTGTTAGCCAGACCCCCACTGGCGGCCCCAACCCTATACCCTAAACATTAGGGGCAAGGGGCAACATGAAATCTCCCCTTCACAGTGAGAGGAAACTATGCTTGCAGGGGTCCCCTCTAGAAAGCCTTAGGAGTAGGTAGTGAAAGGCAAAAACAGAAGTTGAGAGAAGAATATAGAAAGAAAGGAAAAAAAAAAAAGAAAAAAAAAGGGGGGTACCTCGTTTTGCAACAGAGGACCCGTGGGCCTTGGAGCCCTTGCCTCAGGTCAGGCGTACGTGTTCTCTGTCACGAAAGAAGGTACCGCCAGGGGCGCCACGTATATATCTGCAACTTTCCAGGTATATTTGTGGTCATATAGGGGCGGACCGGTATTTTTGCTACGATACCTTTCCAAACCGGTATTTCTGGAACTTGCCCTTTTGTTTTCAGTTCCTCAAGTCAAATCTGCTGAGACGCGTACGGCTACAAGGTTTTGAAGTTTCCAATCCAGGACCTCCGTGATAGTCTGATAACGGTCTTACAAGACGGGCCTTCAACCAGACGGATAGCACAGCCGCGATGGCTTCTTCTTCTTCTTCTTCTTCTCCTTCTTCGTCCGTATGCGGATTTTGTTCGCCGGGAGCAAAGTGGCCTGCGTGGTATGTATCTCTGACGCAAGGATGAGCGATGGCGGCGGCTCTCCCATCAGCGGCGGCGACGAGCATGTCATTGAGTTGCTCACCGTCTATGGAGAAGATGCAAGATGAAGAGGAAGAGGAGGAGGAGGAGGAGGAGGAGAAGGGGGGTCCCAAAGCCGAAGGAGCGCGAATTACATGCCGTTCTCTATTAACATGTGGTCTCGTTGTCCGGTGGGTTGATGTGCTGAGGGAGTTATCGTTGTTGCTGAACATAGCAACCCCGATGATGTGTTTGAATCTCCTTTGGTACTCGAGGGTGGTAATCTCTACAGCTTTCGTAGGCCACTTGGGCGAGAGCCATTTAGCTGCTTGTGCTCTAGCCGTCAGCATCGCTAATGTGACTGGCTATACTTTTCTGTACGGTCTTGCCAGTGGAATGGACCCCATCTGTGGTCAAGCATATGGTGCCGCCAATTTTCGGCTCTTGGGACTGACTCTGCAGAGGGCCATTTTGATGTTACTCTGTGCCAGCGCGGTAATAGTCTTTGGTGTGTGGATGCACGTCGACAGACTCTTGCTGAGATGCGGTCAAGATGCTGTCATAGCATCCATGGCTATGGAGTACATCGTCTGCCTCGTCCCCGATCTCATCGCCGTGACCTTCATCTCCACGCTTCGAAGCTTTCTCCGCTCGCAGTGTATCGCGAAGCCGATGGTTGTCTGTGCTATCATTGCTGTCACTCTCCATATCCCTCTCACCTACTCCTTGATTCACTCTGTCGGATTGGGTTATCGAGGTGCGGCGGCAGCTATGGTGATTACCGACTTCGTGTTCGCGGGGTTGTTGTTAGGGTTGGTGTGGTGGTCTGGCGCTGGTCAACGCAGCTGGCCCGGCATGTCGGCGGAGTGTTTGACCGGTTGGAGCACTCTTTTGAAACTGGCTTTGCCTTCGTGCTTCAGCATAGCGGTGGTGTGGTGGACCTACGAGGCTGCCCTGCTCGCCTCTGGTCTTTTCACCGATCCAGAGGTCAGCGTCGGCGCCATGGGCATCTTGTTGAACAGCTCCGCGTTGCTGGCGATGATTCCGTTCGGCATAAACATGGCGGTCGCGACGCGCGTCGGGATCGAGCTCGGAGCGCAGCGGCCCGCGAAAGCCTGTCTCGCGGGCGCCGTCTCTTGGGCCCTCGGGGTTGTCGTTGGCATCTTAGTTCTTGTCGTCACCACTTTTGGAAGGTTCCGCTGGGCGCGGCTCTTCACCGACGACCTGGCGACGCAAGAGGCGGTGAGCGCCGCCCTCCCTCTTGTCGGCCTGAGCAATATGTGGGGTAGTCCTCAAGACTGCACGACGGGAATACTTAGAGGCTGTGGGAGGCCGGGTGTTGCATTGATTGTCAATTTCGTCAGTTTCTATGCTCTCGGCATTCCCGCTGCTCTTTACTTCGGATTTGGTCGATCTTTAGCGGTCAACGGGTTGTGGGTAGGTCTTATGCTAGCGCAGCTGAGTGCAATGATAGGTCAAACGGCGATTTGCGTTCACAAGATAGATTGGGTGTATGAGGCAAGGAGGGCACGAGTTCTCACTGCTCGGGATCGGGATGACGTTTGTTCTCTGAGTCGGGACACGTGTCAAGAATCCCGATCTCCCGTCTTGTCGGAGTACCATTGTTGTCGGGACTATCTTCCTCTGTCTCCTTACGATCATCGGGAACGACGGGAAGAGATCCATTACCGTGGCGGCGGCGGCGGCGGCGGCGACGGCGGTGAGTACCGTGCTGATCCGAGAAATGCGTGCTTGATGAGGTATACGTCGTCTGAGCAACAACTACAGCGTGCGGAGATATCATGGCTTGATGATGAAGCAACTACCGGTAGTGAGTCGCCTCGGAGTCGAGAGAGTGAGGGAGGCAGCGAGAGAGCTAGAGAAAGATCAAGAAATAGATACGGAGTAGTGATAGAGAGAGAGGGGGAGACCCGGGATAGCGAAATAGCATCAGGAAGAAATGAGGAGGGATGGAGAGAGAGCAAGAGAGAGATGGAAGCTGTAGGTCGAGGAGAAGATTTGGCGACGCCGCTGCTGGTACGCCGGTCGCTGCCGCCGCCGCTCACACATCAAATATCTGCTGAGCGCAGCAATTGCAGTCCGTCGCCGCCTTCGGCGGACTCACTACCGAACCCACCTCCGAGAGACTCTGAGAGCGTGAGAGAGATGGAGATGGACGATGCTTGTCGAGGAGAAGAGTTGACTTTGACAACCCCGCTGCTGCTGCGCCGGTCGCTCTCGGCAGAATCGATAGCGCCGCCGCCGCCGCCGCCGCCGCCGCTCACACGTCGGAGTTCTTCTGACCGCACGACGAGTTGCAGTTCGCCGGCGCCGTCAGACTCACCACCTTCAGTGCTTGAAAACGTTTTCTCCGTCCCTTTGGTGATGACGTCAACGGCCGGCTGCAACTCCAACTACCCTCCAGGGCCTCCACAGTCGCCCCCTCCGTGCCGTCCCTCCCTCGCGGACTTCCTCAGAGTCTCCTCTTGTTCAACCCTCGCCGCTCTGCTGGGTGCCTCCTTTCCCTCCACATCGCCTCACTCGAGACTGTGACGACAAAAAAAATAAAAAAAAATAAAAAATAAAAAAATGAAGACTGTGACGACCATTTCTTCCCGTCTTGAACGGTTATCCAATGGAGGGAGGTGTCGTCAACTTGTCAGAGCGAGTTCCATCGTGCGTGGTGGTGGAGCAGTGTGTGCGAACGTGGCATGCATGAATCTGGACTCGCTCTGTGCCAGGTTCGTATCATGTTACGCTGGCAACTTGAGTACCGTACCTGGGGTAGAAGTCCTTTGATGACTTGTTGCATGGGTACTCTTGGGAAGATTCTATGACCTCTCATGATGAGAAAGGGAGGAGTTTCTCTCTGTCCGGTTCACGGCAGTGCTAACCGGATTACTTGCAAATACCTGCCGGGACCTATCAAGTCCGGTTCACGTAGGATGCATGAATCTGGACTTGCTCTGAGCCAGGTTCATTCCATTCTACTGCGCGAAGGCTTTCTGCGACTGTGCTCGCGCGTCTCGGATGTGCTCTGTGCTCTGTGCTCTGTGCGTGTGTGTGTGTGTGTGAGAGAGAGAGAGAGAGGAAGGGAGCGGGAGGGGGGAGGGGGGGGGCGGGGGGGGTGGGTGTGGTGGAGTTGTCTTTTGGTCGGTATGACGGACAAGACGAAGAAAGAAGGAGATGCATATCGGGACACACCGAAGGTGGCTACCGTCTTCCCCCGAACACAACGCAACCTCATTTTGGCTGTATCTGGTCGGAAATATAGCTTGTATACATTCATTTTTAGGGTGCGTTATGTTCGGGGGAAGACGGTAGTGCTTTCGTCATTCCCCTGCAAAAATACTAACCAGTTCTTGGGTTCCCTAGGTTGCCTAGGTTCCTCGCCCATTCAATTTGATGGATATACAACGTCCGGCCTATGGAAAGTAATGGAATAGAATAGAATAGAATAGAATAGAATAGTTCTTGGAGTATAGTCTTAGGAGAAGTGGTAGGAAGGTAGTGAAAGGCCAAAATAATTTGAGAGAAGAACATAGTGTAGTTTAATAAAAAAAAAAAAAAACGTGTTGCGCGCTGAGTCGCTGACTGAAGTTATCTGCCTCTCTTTTGGACCAGATTCGGTCAAGGTTGCCTCGTCGTCGTTCTTTTTTTTTTTTTTTTTGAAAAAGGATTCTGCTACCCTTCTTACGGCGTGTGGAATTAATAGAATAATAAGAATATAGAAGTAGAATAGAATAGTTCTTGGAGTAGGCACTGTAGGGTCAACTTGTTATGAGCTGAGTCAGCTGACTGAAGTTATCTGCCTTCCCTTTGGACCAGATTCAGTAGAGGTTGCTCGTTATCATTCTGCTACCCTTCTTCACACGAATACAACGTACGGGCGTTATGGCTGTATGAGCCTGTATCTGGGGTATCTTTCAGTCTAAATACAGCGATAACAACCGTGTGTTGTATTCGGGTGAAGAAGGACAGGCCCCAAGGACTCAAGGAGTTAAGTGGTCATTGCGTGGGGTTGGAAGAGTAACGAAAGTAATAGAACCACCATGGGCCTCCATGGCCCCATGGGGCCATCGCCGGCCGATTCAGGCCGAACCTTAGTATTTGTTTGTACCGGGGGGCGGATTTTTTTATTTTTATTTTTTTTAAACAAAATTACTTGGTATTAACTGGGGACCCTACTGGCCTCAGTGGCCTGACCTGTCCACGGGTGGGGTACAAAAAATGAAGTGAAAGGTCTTTTAGGGGGACCCGGGGGACCACACGGTTTGCCCCCTGTTGGGGGGAGGAAGCGGGGGGGGAATTAGCAGGCTTTGCACCGGGGGGGGGGGGGGGGTATACTAATTCCCGCAGAGTTCGTTAGGGTCCTTAGGGGTTTTCTGTTTCCGAAGACCTGGCAGCAGTTTTGGTTGGGCTTAAAAGAATTACTAGCCTTTAAAACAAGAAGGAAAAAAAGACCTGAGGAAAAAAAGACCTGTCAGCAGTTTTGTTTGGGCGTATGTTGCCTAACTTCAGCCTATTAGGCTAAGAGATAAACAACTCACGCCCACAAGTTTGTTCACCGTTCAGGCCCTTCAGGGCCTTCAGGCCTGGAGCTGGGGACCACACCCTGTACTCAGTGTACTGTCGTGATGAAGCTCGGCGGCTCGGCCACGCGGCCCACGCCCGTTCGCCTTTCGGGGAGCTTGTGTGACTAAACTGTCTCTTGCTTTCACTCTCTGCAACAATTTTCTCACCTCGTCTTTCCTTCCTTCTTCCCTGTTCCTTCACGTTTCTTCTGTTGTTTGTTTGGTTGGACTAATGATTGGTGTCGTGGTGTGACCTTCAGACCCTGGCATTATCATTAAGGTAACCCTTGTGTCTAGTTGATAACTCGATACTCACTTGTTCGAGGCCTAAACCCTAAACCCTAAACCCAAATTGATACTCACCCAGGTCCGTGGCTGGCCCATCGAGCTGGACCCACTGGCCCACCACAGGCCACCAGCATCTCTCTCTCTCTCTCTCTCTCTCTCTCTCTCTCTCTCTCTCTCTCTCTCTCTCTCTCTCTCTCTCTCTCTCTCTCTCTCTCTCTCTGTGTGTGTGTGTGTGTGTGTGTGTGTGTGTGTGTGTGTGTCGCTGTCTGATGTCTTGTATTGCATTCCAACTACCTTCTTCACCCCACCCGAAGTTCCCCGAACACACCCTCATTTTGGCTGCATGAAACTGGGCGGATGGCTTGTATACATTCATTCAAATTTCAAAGTTATCAGGGTGGGAAAGTAGTCAACATGAATGCATGGAAATCGGTGGCGGGCGCGCGGAGTTCCTGGATGATGAGTATGGTTTGCAACTTTGCAGTGACTGAAATAATGAGCTTTTTTTTTTTTTTTTTTTTTTTTTTTTTTTTTTTTTTTTTTTTTTGGTGAAAAGAGGGCCCAGTGGCCAAGGCTCGAGTTATGAAATTGAATACAACGGGAACACACACCTCTTAGGCTCTTCCCATTAGGGCTGGAAGAGCGTCGGTCACTGCTCCCTTGGAGATAGCTTTCCCTATTCGATATGGATATAGCACTGGCCATGGGCATTGAATCCATTGATTGCTTCCCAGTAAGGAAGGATTAACCCCGCTCCAGCAAGATCAGAACTCTACCCTGCTTAGCTCGACTGCGACTACTTACTAGATGTCTCCAACTCAGCCATGGGTACTCCGACAAAGGTCATTGTTTTAAATTTCCCCCACAACAACCCCGTTTCCACCCAGATCTCATTGAGCAGATCTTCCAAAATTGAGTTTTGGCTAAGATAAAGTGTACCATTTATTCTCATCAGTTTAATATCTGGTCCCTGATGCGGCAAACCACAATAAAAAAAACGAAAAAACAAAACGGAGGAAGAACAACATAAAAAAAGAAATGTATGTCTGTCTGTCTGTCTGTCTGTTGTCATGCTTGCCATTTTATTTTATTTTTTCAAAAGAAACAACAGAACCGAGGAAAAAAAAGAGTCTCTGTTGTCATGCTTGCCTTTTTTTTTTTTTTTTTTTGTTCCGATGCTCATCTTTTGTTTATCATTCCATTTTTGCCAGATGTCGAGAAGGACCGTTGTCATGCTTGCTATGCACGACTCCACATACAAAAAAGACGTGTCACTGACTGTGCCACACTGTTTTTTCAGACTTTACCGACTCCGGCGTCTCGTCAACAGTCTGCCCAAGATGCATTTGAAAGTTTTGAACGATGGCTAATGGCTCTCACCATTTCCACCCGAGTTAGCCATCATTCAGAATTTTCAATACCCTTCAGGCTCAGACAGAAAACTGAGAAACGTGGTGACGTTGTCGAGTTCACTCACACCACACCGACCACGGTTTACCGTAGTGATTCGAGCCTGACTCTGCCTGAGGCCCTGAGGGGAGTGAGGGTATCGCTAAAGGACGCTAACTCTGGTCTTGAATCACTATCATACCGTATGTCGAGTGTAGTGTACTCAGTGTAGTAGTGTACTCAGTACCGAGTGTAGTGATTCGAGCAGCCTGTATGTCCAGTGTCCACAACCGAGACAACTCGCCCAAGAATGGCAGTAAATCTGAGAAACCACCAGTAAGTTCGCCGCAGTGTTCTGAGTGTTCAACTTGAAGTTTGCAAAAGATACCGAAAATGCACGACTTCAGCAGACTCTGTGTGTGTGTGTGTGTGTGTGTGTGTGTGTGTGTGTGTGTGTGTGTGTGTGTTCCAGCCATCATGTTCGTTATACACCTCCACAAAAAGAGAAAAGCATGCCTCTGCCAGACCATTTCGTCCGATTGACACAGACTACTATTGTACTCAAAGTAACTCGAGCACCGGGCGAATCCGGACAATCTGTCCAGTGTCCACCATGCATTTGACTGAGGGCATTCAAAGGAGGAAGACCTTGCCACACCGCCTTGAGTAAAAGAGACCTTTACGAGTGATCCATTTTCACTCCAACCAATCCTGCCACCCTCTGCGTGTGTGTGTGTGTGTGTGTGTGTGAGAGAGAGAGAGAGAGAGAGAGAGAGAGAGAGACCCTCTGC